AAACTCATTGCTGTCAAGTCGGATCTGACTCATAGCAACCCCTCCTTGGGTTTCCCAGGTGGTATCACTATGGAAATAGATTGCCCTATCTTCCTTCCGAGGAGTGCCTGGTGGGTTTGAACTGCCAGCCTTCTAGTTAGCAGTCAAATGCCTTACGCACTATGACACCAGAGCTCCCTTTGAATCACTAGGACAAGCTTATCGAAGGTTCCTCTACTAAATTTATGAAAGTCAATAAATTTTGGTCTTATCATAGATACATGATGGAGAGCAAAGCATATACTTTCTAACTGATAACCTTGTGCTTCTTACAGAGATCTGCAAGCAGAATAAGCTTATTCAGGAAAAAAAAGATAACTTGTTAAAGTTGATTGCTGAAGTAAAATGCAAAAAGCAGGAAATAGAAGTCCTGACAACAAATATCCAGAATCTTAAGGAAGAATATGCTAAAAAGAAGGAAAGTAAGTTTCATTTCAATTCATACTAATCATAATTTCAAAGTATTAATGATTTTCAATTATTGTGTACATCTTACCTGCTCTGCAGTTTATTGCTAAAATTGTATAACATGCCTCAGGGTCCTAGCTAGGCCATTCCTCTCAGCAAGGTGTCACTGAAGTTAGCCAAGTGAGTATTTGGTTTTGTTTTATTTAAAGGCCTTGTCCTCTGATTCCTAATACAACCAGAGTGATAATGAAATTGGCATGGGGCTTAATTAAATAAAATGGGAGACCATTTTTCTAGGACAAACTACACTGTAATTGATGTAACAACTACATGTTGACCACACATTCTCTGCCAGGAACTATTAAGGTCTCTCATTATGCTGCAAAGTCTCTTTCATATTCAAACAAAAGGAATGTTTCCTTGTTTGCCCACAAAGCAATAAATTCTTAAATCTCTTGAAAATAGCAAAGCTTGTTTTGTTACTGCTATTTCTTATCTAGTTTTTATCCAGGGCTTTGCTGTGAAATTATTTTTCTCATCTGCTAAGTATTACTTAAGGAAAATTGTACTAACTGTAAAAAAATTCTAAAATGTCACAAAATGAGATTTTCATGAGAAATAGCTATGTTTAAAAGAGTATTTTTTCCAGTGAAGCTAACCAGAAAAATCAAATAGTGTAAGTCTTTCTATTTCTAGCTAATCATGCAAATCTCTGGCCTATTTATTCATGGTACTGCATAATAAAAAAGAATAAAACATGATACGTCTCTCTCTATATATTTTTAACCAAATTTTTATTCCAGTTTGAATGGAGGCAAGCCCTTTTAGCTAATGACAGAGGTAGAAACTGAATAAACATAAGCAGATTGTTTTGTCTGGCATCATTTTTATAGTTTTCAAGAATTTTTTTTTTTATTAATTAAAGGAACATTAATTGAGTGTTGTTTAAAACATTTTATACTGTGTTTTCATTTATAAAATCATAGCTATATCCACTGCTAACAAAGCTATTGAAGAGAGACTGAAAAGACTGCAGAAATCTGCAGACTTGTATAAATGTCGACTTGGACTAGAAATTCGCAAAATTTATGGTAAGTATATTAATAGAAATATAACATATGAGGTTAGAAAGGTGTATCTTTTGTTAAGTAGAGGAGCATCTAAAATAATGACTACATTTTTAACTAGAGAATAGGTGGAAATTATAAAAATTTTTTATCATTTTAAGCCAATTACTGATGCTTTGGTTCTTATCATTCAATATTTTTATAAATGTATTTTTGGCATAGTGTCAATATTAAAGTAATGTTTGTTCCTTGTTCTTATTTGGTATTGTATCATTAGTATTTCTTCAGTTGCTACAGCCTTCATAATGATAGTTTTAAAGTGGTGTAAAGGTTCATTCTATTAATGTCATGTGATTTATTCAGTCTTTTATCTATTGTTTGACACATGCACTACTTCTAACATTGTGTTTGAATCCTGCCAGTTTTAGAAATACTATAGGGCACATAGACTTCTCCGTCTTTTGTATTATTTCCGCAGAATTACTGTTAGGAATTATTGTCTTCAAAAACATGACTCTACATGTTTATATGTCAGTTTACAGCAATACCTATTATATCAAGGGTCTTCAAGGTTTGATGATCCCCTAGGAGGACATCAGATAGTTATAGTCATGGATAAGATTTATTGCAGCAAAAAGTTATAAAACAAAATCCAAGGGCAAAGGTACATGGGTGAAAATCTAGAGAACATTGTACCAGTGGGGTCACATGAAAAACTAAACCCATCACAATGGAGTTGATTCTGATTCATTGTGACCCTGCAGGACAGGGTAAAACTGCCTGTAGGGTTTCCAAGGCCATAAATCTTTATGGAAGCAGACTGCCTCATCTTTCTCCTGTGGAGTGGCTGGTAGGTTCCAACCACCAACCTTTTCTTTAGCAGCCCAGTCTTTTAACTACAGTGCCACCAGAGCTCCTATTGTAGAGTCACACGGGATATCCTTAATTCCCATAGCATTAAATTATGAGAACAGATGGGAAGTGTTGTCTGCAAGGGAAGCTTATTAAAGACTCATTGCTAGATTTTTTACTGTGGGTTGGTTATGTAGGCACATTGTCTGCCAGTCCCCATTCCAGACTCCTGGAAGGAAAACAGGTATTCAGCATAAACCACATTATTTATTTAGTTCAGGCACAGTAAACTACCCTTATCTATTAGAGAATGGTGAGAACACTCCCAAATCCAAGTTCCCTGATGCCAGCTGTGCAGAAAAGAGTTAACATTGCAAGCCTGCTTGTACTTAGAAAGGCCCTTAGTTGGTATCTGGAAACTTGTATTTTGTGAGAATTCCCAATTCCATAACTGATAAAGAGTGGCTCACTGACCTAAACTGTTTTTGCAAGCAATACTTTTATGCTGAGTACTTGCTTTCACCTTGGGAGTCTGGAATTTTAGTACCTGCTAGGCTGCCAACATGATCACCCCTCAATAAAAACCCTCGGTGTTGAGCCCTTGTAACAGGCTTCTTTCATTGCCAACACTTCACATGTAGGAGAATTGAGTGATTACTGGGAGAGGTTTCTGGAAGCTTGTGCCTGGTTTCCCTTGCACTTCATCTCATGCACCTTTTTCTGTTGCTGATTTTACTTTGTATCCTTCTGCCTTAATAATATTACAGCCATGTGTATGACTATGAGTCTTACCAGTCCTGCTTGAGAATCATTAAACCTGTGTGTTGTCTTGGAGACCCAGCACATTAGTCAAGGGCCAGCATTGCAACAAAGAGGCCTTTCTAAAGTTTTAAGGATAGCAGTCTCAGGCCTGCTCTGTTAACTCTTTCCACATACCTACTTACAGTGCATGAAAATACCCATTTTATTATATTCTTGCCAGGTTGTGTTTTTGGTTTTGCATTTGTAGTTTTGCCAGTTGACTAAGCACGAATGGAACTTTTTAAAAACATAACCATTATGCATTTGTTTGTTTGTTTCCCAAAGCAGTTTAGTTGCATTATTATAGCTGTTATAACTGCCTCCTCTTCTACCTTCCAATTTTCTTAGCCCTGGTCCCTTGATAGTTCTTTTTTTCTTTTTTTATGTAGAGCAAATTAGTTTCCCATTCAACAGTTTATACACTTTGTGTGTGTGTGTGTGTGTGTGTGTGGCTGTGTGAGAGACATGAGTTGAAATCCCCTCAGTGTAACATCACTCTTCCCATGTCCTCCTTGGGTTCCCTGTTTCCATTTGCCCATCTTTCCTGCCCCTTCTTGCCTTCTGAACTTTAATTTTGGGCATATACTGCCCTTTTGGTCTCATATGATTGTTCTGAGCAGCACATTCCTCATAGGTGTTTATTGTTGACTTTATAGGTCTGTCTGTTGTTTGGCTGAAAGGTGATCTCTGGGAGTAGATTCAGTTCCAGGTTTGAAGGGTGTCTAAGGGGCATAGTCTCAGGAGTTTTATCAGTTTCTGTCAGACCAGTAAGTCTGGTCTTTTATGATTTTGAATTTTGTTCTTTATATATTTCCCATTCTGTCTATGACCTTCTATTATGATCCCAATCAGAGCAGTTGGTAGTGGTCGCCAGGCACCACTTTGTTTTTCTGGTGTCAGGCTAGTGGAGGCTGTGGTTCATGTGGTCTGTTAGTCCTTTGGACTTATTGTTTCCTTGAGTCTTTGATTTTTCTTCACTCTTTGCGCTAGTCGGGATAGTTGTATCTTAGATACTCACAAGCTTTTAAGACCCTAGTCACTACTCACCAAAGTAAGGTGTAGAGCATTGTCTTTGTGGACTAGGTTATACCTGTTGACCTAGGTGCTCCCTGAAACTATGGTCCTAAGCCCTCATGCATATTGACTCAGTCCCTCAAGATATTTGTCTAAGAAGTTTTCATAATTTTGCCCTCTGTATGCTCTACTGTATACCTGTATACATTTGCAGCACATATAAATATGTATGTAGACATATCCTCTGCCAGCAGCCATCTAGATGCAACAATGGGTCTCTCCTTGTCCAGAACAAAGAAGAATGAAGAAAACCAAAGATGAACGGAAACAATTAGTCTAAGCAACTGGTACTCCATGTGATCCTTAGCCTATATGACTCTGAGACCAGAAGAACTAGATGGTGCCTGGCTACCATTGTCAACCACTTGGAAGAGAATCTGTGTAGGAGATACTGAATAGAGTAAGAGAACACTGTGGAACAAAACTCGAAATCATAAAAAAGAAGGGACCAGGTTTGCTGGTCTGATGGAGCCTGGTGGAGCCACTGAGACTATGGCCCCTAGCTGCCCTTCAGGTCTGGAATTGAACCTACTCCTGTGGCTTCCAGCCAAACAGAAGACAGGCATATGAGCTGAACATTTACATTAGGTAGATACACTTCTTGGAGAGATCAGTCATGGGAGAATAGAAGGGCTGTG